ACGGTAACGCCATGAACAAACGAAAAATGTATATTATAAAAAGAAAAAATTAATAATAATCGTATAATAATATTGTTCATTATTATATCGTGCAAAATATATATTATAACGTAGTAGGAGAGTCGACGATGATATTGGATCACTTCGTGTGGAGAGAGCTGTATTATAATATGATTGTGACGATGATAATAATATTGTTGTTTTCATTATTAGAGTTAAATCAGGCACGTGTACAGGGGGGTTTAGGGGTTAACTATACCCCCCACGAAATTGTTTTCTGTATACGCGCCTGCATTAAGTTATAGCTTTTTCATATTGCTTGGGCATTATAATGTTACATTTAAGTTAGTATAACGGAGCATGATGGTGTTGAAAATATATACATATTAATATAATATTATTATTACTTTTTATTCTTTAATTATTATTATAACTATACTATATCATTATTAATAACGGGAACACGCAGTACACTATACATTTGTTACAATAATAATATTATTAATATTGATTTATATGCATGTATAATTTATATATAATATTTTTTTTAATCGTAATAGATATCATCGTAGTCTGGTGTAGGTAAAATTATTGATAATCCACACGACATTGATGTACGATATAATAATATTATTAAATAGAGTTAATAAAGTCTAGTCATTTATAATATGTATAAACCGCATATATATATTTTTTTTTATTGAACGCCACGCACGAACGTAGTTATTTTTCTTTGATAAAACTGCAGCGTGTAAATATTTTGTTTTTTGAAATTGTTTCCATAAAAAAATTGTTTTTGAAGACTACTGACAAATTGACACTCTTCAAAAAAAAAAAAAAAAAACAATATGATAAACTGTTTAAAAAATATGTGTAAAAGTAGCAATCAAATAATTGGCAAAACCTATTGTATAAATACATTTTTACAATATTTAAATATTTTCGTTTAAATTATATCGTCTGTGTTATCAATTAAAAAAATATTTATATAAAGAGAAAACTTCACAAAGCAGCCTTTATGTTTGGGTACTTATGTAAAATCGTATAAGTTAATATAACGTTGTGAATTAAATGTTTCTGAAAGATTAAAATGGACTTATTAGAGTGGTAACTCCATATTATAATAGCGTGTAAAGCATAAGCGAATACTTAAACTAATTGACATTTGAAGGGAATATTTTCTACAGTCTATAGGTAAACGTAGAGATTTTCAATATATTTTGTAAAAGAAATACTTTGGTATTAGAAGAGGATGCCACACACTCACAAAATGTTTGTAAAGACAATTTCTAATGAAAAAGAACAAATATTTAGATCTATTCTCAGTTAAAAAACCAAATTTATGCTTTTTGTACGGCAGCCATTTATTTTTGATATGAAAAAATGT